CTGAATACGGGCTTCGTGTCTGCTCGTGGTTCAGGCGCCATCCCGAAAACGAGACAAAACGATCTTACCTCAGACATACCTGCTAATTGCATTCTGTTACTCCTCAGCCTGTCTCTGCTTCCATTATGATGAACCTTCCAACTGTGCACAAGGACGTGTTGTCCTTTGCCTTTGATCACTCGGTTGACTATGACGAGAGCCAGCCACTCTATATTGATGCAAGAAATCCATCGCGCAGTCTAAATGCCAATCAGTTACGTCGAATAGTGCGGGCTTTGATCGCAGGACTCAGGCGGTATATTAAGCAAGGAGAGTGTGTGTTGGTTCATCTGGGCAATAGCGTAGGCTAAACCCACAGGCAACGCCTAGTTCCCAATGACTGGATCTAATAAACAGTCCTTAGTATGTTCACTCAGCTCTCTTCTTCGGCATAATAGGAGCCGGGGGCGTTTACATGGGTGCCAGCCCCGATAGCCCACCTCATGAACTAGCCAATGTTCTTGAGCTGGGGAGGCCAAGGTTAATCATTACGACGAACCAGACGCTTCATGCTGTCTTGAGTGTTGCAACCAGCAAAGGCCTCGGTCCGGAGCAAATCTGCCTGTTTGAAGAATTGACTATCACTAGCTTTCTAGAGTCAAACCTCAGTCATCATCGCCAAAATGCTGAAACCATCACATTATACGACCTTCTCGCCTGCGGCGACGAGGATTGGATCAAGTTCGATGACGAATCCCTGGCCAAAACCACTCCAGCCGCTATGTATTGCACCAGTGGCACCAGTGGGCTTCCCAAAGCCGCCATTATCTCGCACCAGGCCGTTGTCTCCCAGCATCTTAACAAGCAATATGAGGTTCCATACGCTATCAGAAGACTGGTCACTGTTCCAGTCTACCATCGCTTCGGGGCACTGTGGCACGCATTTCCCATCCGTCAAGGAGAGCCAGCGTACTTCCTGCAAAAGTTCGAACTGAATCACTTCCTCGACGCTGTTCACAGCAACAGAATAACAGACGTATTTATTGTGCCAGCAATAGTTCACCTCTCATTTCAGTCCTCTCGGCCTGTGGCGGAGCTCATTTCATCTCTGCGTATGGTAGGCGTCTCAGGCGCGCCCATCGACACGGAATCATTGCAAAAATTCCAAGATCTGCTACACAAACAAGCTACCGCAGCGCAAAGCTGGGGCATGACAGAAACCGGCCCGGTATTTGTATGCAGGTATGGAGAGCGCGTCGATAAAGCAAGTATCGGAAAGCTTGTCGGGATAAACGAGGCAAGACTCATCGACGACGAAGGCATGATAATAACCAGCGACAACTGCCCCGGTGAGCTATACGTACGAGGCACAGGATTATTTTCGAACTATAAGGGACGAGATGACGGAGTCGACGCAGATGGATGGTTTCGAACAGGGGACGTGGCCTACCGACAAAACGAATACTACTACCTGTTTGGCAGAGTCAAGGAAATTATCAAAGTACAAGGGCAAGAAAAACCCCAGCCATATTCTACTACCACCCTTCTAACAGTGATGCTCAGGAATCAAGTAGCTCCCGCCGAAATAGAAGCCATCCTCTCCAAGCACCCAGGAATATCCGATGCCGCCGTCCTCGGAGTCCAATCCAGTGATAAGAGCACCGAACTGCCCAGAGCCTTTGTGGTAAAATCATCAGCTTTCAAGGCCAATCTGACCGCAGATGAAGTCTACCAATTTGCAAAATCCCAGTTAGCAGGCTACAAGGCTCTAGATGGAGGCGTGGTATTTGTCAGTGATATCCCTCGAACTGCGAGCGGGAAGATCCTACGGGACAAGTTGGCACAGATGAATGCTCGACGGGAGAAGATCGCCCAGGTACTTTCTCGTCGGGTTATCAAGGTGGTCACTTGATCTGGAGGCCAGGTAATGGTGGTCTTTGAAACATAGCTGCCATGCACACGTTCACGCTCGAGACCCTTATTAGTCTTTCAACCTGGTAGATTCCGTCACTCATTCACCTATGCAGATTCGTAAATCACGCAATGCTCCTCATGTCAGCAACTACTTCCTAGCTCATTACCTACTACAACCGACGCATTATGCACTCGACGCTAGTCATTTACATCTAGACCAGGCCAGCATAAAACCAACCCCCAAAAAGGGCCCCAACCGCTCTACAATCACGACAACCAAACCACATACAATAATTAGAAACAAGTGACCAAAAAGTCTTCTCGCGTCTATTCGGTATATGGGTATCTATGCAACAAAAATCCATCCAAATCCAAGCCCGAAGCGAACATCATCCGTAACGTAACGATCATAAAGCCTCTATCCCTGCATCATTCATTCTGACAAGCCGTAACCTCCGTAAGCAACTCATCCAATCCACGGAATCCCTCTTCCACGACCCATTTTTGTCCTTGAGCGGGATGTAGAACATGGCAGCTCGCGCCGACAACCAAGAGACCAGGGGGTCTTGAGCCCTCGGCTTCGAAGGCAGCGCTGACGTGCTCCAGGGTAGACCGGATGACGCGTTGGTCGGTGCAGGAGGCTCGCTCAATGATTGCGCAAGGAGTGTCTTTCGGCCATGGGGTCCGTGGACGGGCGCCCTCTGCTGGCTCGGTGGTCAGAGATTCGATGAGCGCGGACAGACGGTGCAGGGCCATCAGGAAGACGACGGTTTGTGTGGGGACGTAGGTAGGGGGTTCTGGGGCTGCGCCTTTGCGGCCTGTGCCTGTGCAGACGAGGACTTGGTCGGATACGCCTCGGTGCGTGGCGGGGATGTCTGCGAAGAGGGGCGCGCTCAGTGCACTGGTGATGCCGGGAAGGACGACGGGTGTGTAGCCTTCGCCTCGGAAGAATTCGAATTCTTCGCCTCCTCGGCCGTAGAGGTAGGGGTCACCCTGCTTCAGTCGGAGGACGTATCTTCCTCGACGCAGGGAGTCCAAGCCCATCTTCAAGAATTCCTCCTGGGCCTGGTCTGCGTTGCCTGGGAACTTTCGCGCGATGTGGACTTCTGTCCTGCGGGGGATGAGTTCTAGGACAGGAGCTGGGACGAGTTTATCGGTCAGGATGATGTCGGCGGATTGGATGGCATTGTATGTCGCGCGTGTGAGCAGATCCGGATGTCCCGGGCCGGAGCCAGCAAGAACAATCTTGCCCTTCTTTGACAACGTTTCCGAGTTGCTGAGATCTTGGGGTCCGTCTTTGCTAGACGAGTAGGCCTCAAGAATGGCGTTAATATCTTCGTCTGTGATGGCGGCCAGTTTGCGCAGGGGCCAGTATTCACAGATCTGGGACAGCCAGCGCATGCGGCGGGTCTTGGCTGCAGAGATGTCGTCTTCTGTCACTAATGTGTTGAATGTGTGCCGTTGGCCAGTTGCATCATCTTCGTCACCCTCTAGCGGTGCATCACATAGTCCGGCAGCATAATCCTCCGCCCATAGGCGCTTTCTCACTGCACCTAGCCTGTCAATGGCACTTCCGAGATTTGATGGGAGTCCCGAGGAGATTTCCCTTCTGAGTCGCGAGGCCAGCTTACAGCCCCGTCCTGACGTTGTGATGCCGATGTGGAGAGGGCCGTCCGAATACGTAGACAGCAAGCTGAAGGTACAGAGTTCCGGAGCATCTGAGACATTGACTGGGATTCTCAGACGACGGCAGAGCTTAGAGATGTGTGCACTCAATGGGTTGTTTCCGCCTAGAGTGACAAAGACCGTGTCTACAACACGGTCGACTTCCTCTCTTCCTAGGCTCGTAAGATCCTCATCCTGGAACCCTTTGCGAAGCCACTTCAAAGAGCCATTCTCAATCCGTTCGACCAACGTGTATTGCAGGCTCTCTGTGTCCGGGGCAATGAGAACGGGCTTGGCGCCAGCTTCAATACTTTTGGCACAACGGGCTGCTGCAAGTGGGTTGGCCCCGATGATCAGATGGACTTGTGACTCAACGTTCACGGCTGTCAGTAGAGGTGCCGGAACACCACTATCTGATGCGTCCCTCATGTTTGAATTGCCACCGCGGGGTTTGCGGTCTAACCTTCAATATATTTTTGGACTTCGTTGTTGTTGTAGAAAGTTTTGGTGGTATGAACAATCGACCCTGAATTGGAGGACCCACGCTGATTTATGCTTGCATCCCACAATTGAAGTCGTGAGTCGATTGAGTTTCCAGGTTCTTTAACTCCGCGGAAAAGCCAACTGATGAGCAACGACTGCAGATAAGAACCACGTTCTCCAGTCAGCACGTCTGGCAGGTCGATAAGACTATCTCAACGATTAATAAACGGAGTCGCCACAGAAAACCAGCGGAATTGGAGTCATTCTGCCTCTGGGAAATTTATAGATGCATTTCCTGATGGGGTTAAGGCGATATTGCGTGATCGCGCATGCAGTGGCTTAGGTAAGCCAACCCCGGATTGGGAGATTCAGTATGGTGCCTGATTCAGTAACAATGAGTATTAGCTGAGATGACTGTTCGACGTCTTGTACTCTTATCGTAATATCTGGCAGAACAGAGTATAGTCGAAATATGCTCAAAAGTTATATCCCATGACGGGCGTGATTCGCGCGCATGACTCTAGACGCGAGCATATGTCATGATATGTTCATTGAGAAGAGTTGTGTTTGATAGTTCAGTATTCTAGAGAGTTCAAGCAAATCCACTTGGTGAGAACCCATCACTGATAGAATATAAGTGCTAATGTTCGTGGTGGTCTCGTGTGTTTATCCTAGTAACCAAAACATTGGCCAGGTCGTGTTAGTTGGTAACCGGGAGTGTCCCATTCATCATAGTAGACGACGGATATAGGATTTTTGACATATTTTCAACAGAAATTTAAATCATATCGCTGCGAGGTCAGTTTCATCGAGAGATGGAGGCACGCGTCTACGATATGAGTAGTATTGTTGAAGGATGGTGATCTGGTCCAAGTGCTGCAGCGGTGTATATCACGTGATACAGCTGCCGCCAGCTCGAGCTGCACGTCAGAGCTCCGATCCAGTCCATGCTTCCACTCATCTCTTTCATCATTTCCCCCCAGACTCCCATCTTCTCCCAATAATCCCTCCAAAATCCTGCATTCTTCTTTCTCTTCCACAGGTTGATATCCGTCGAATTTGATTTATACCCTGCTGTGACGCTTCCCCGTCACCATGTCCGAAACCCTGTTGAAGCCGGAGAAGGACTTCTCCAAGGATGCTGACAAGCTGATCCCCGAGGCTGAGCAGCTTGCTAAGGTTGGAGCTTTACCTTTAGTTCTGCAAATATAATTTATTGACCGTCAACAGACCGATGTTCAGGGTGCCATTGACAAGCTCCTTGTATTGGAGAAGCAAGCAAGACAAGTACGGTCCTTCCCTCGTTCGTTTGGCGACAACGCGATTCTTACCCATCCTACAGGCTTCGGATCTTGCCACAACATCGCGCATCCTTATCACCATCGTCACACTCAGCAAGAACTCAGGAGACTGGAACCTGCTGAACGACCAGGTGCTCCTGCTATCCAAGAAGCATGGCCAGCTCAAGCAGGCCGTAACGAAGATGGTCCAGACGGTGATGGGATTCCTGGATGAGACACCGAACTTGGATGTCAAGCTGTCCGTCATCCACACACTGCGGACTGTGACTGAGGGCAAGGTCAGTGAAATAACCACCCGTCCAGCTCCGCATCATGCTAATGCGCGTCTGCATAGATCTTCGTCGAAGTCGAGAGAGCCCGTGTGACCCGCATCCTTTCCAACATCAAGAAGACCCAAGGCGACCTGAACGCTGCTGCCGATATTCTTTGCGAGTTGCAAGTCGAGACATTCGGTTCCATGACCAGACGGGAAAAGACAGAGTTCATCCTGGAGCAGGTTGCGCTCTGCATAGAACGGGGCGACTGGACACAGGCCACCATCCTCAGCCGCAAGATCAACAAGAGATACTTCAACCGCAAGCCGAAGAAGAGCCCGGAGGAAATTGAGAAGCTGAAGAAGGAAGCCGAAGAGAAGGAGAAGACGCGTAGCCCGGATGAGGCACCGATGGAGGTGGACGATGACGTGACCGACTTGAAGCTTCGCTACTATGAACAACAGATTATCCTCGCCAATCACGACTACAAATATCTGGATGTTTGCAAACACTACCGGGAAGTGCTGGATACGGAGTCGGTGGAGAACAACCCGGAGCAGCTTCGCGCCGTAAGTTTACCTTGAGGTAGTTAGTACCTTCGAGCTAACACTGTCTAGGTCCTCGCCAGGATTGTCTACTACATCGTCTTGTCTCCCTACGATAATGAACAGTCCGACCTGTTGCACCGCATCCAACAGGACTCGCGGCTCTCCCTCGTCCCGGTTGAAGGCCGGCTAGTGAAGCTCTTCACCATCCACGAGCTGATGCGCTGGCCGATGGTGGGCGAGCAATTCGGTCCTCACCTCTGCAACACGGATGTATTCAAGCCTCAGCCCAGCCAGTCGGTCGAAGACCAGCCGTACCGGAGGTGGCAGGACCTCCGCAAGCGCGTGATCGAGCATAACGTGCGGGTGGTGGCCAAGTACTACACACGTATCCAGATGGGCCGGTTGACCGAACTGCTGGACCTGACGGAGGAGGAGACCGAGAAGTACATCAGCGAGCTGGTCTGTTCGAAGACGATCTACGCCAAGATTGACCGTCCAGCCCGACTGGTCAACTTCGCCAAGCCTCGCGATGCCGACGACGTGCTGAACGAATGGAGCAGCGACATGAAGAGCCTCCTGGGGCTGCTGGAGCGGATCGACCATCTGATCACGAAGGAGGAGATGATGGCGCGGATCCTCCCCACGCGAGAGAAGGGCAAAGCCCGGTAGATTCTGAGTAGCAGAATAGCAGATATACACATTGATGATAGTAGAATGGGACAATAATGACATCGTCATACATACATACACACACGATCGATCTATAGTCTACATCTATGCATAATCTAAAACGGCAACTCCATCTCATTAACATCCACCTCCTCCTTCTCCTTCTTCCCCCCATTACCACCATCCCCAAGAACCCCCCTCACAAACCCCACCACAGCATCCAAATACGGCCTCTGCGCCGGCACAAAATGCCCCCCAGGATGCACCACCACCCTCCCCTCCACATCCACCGCATCAGTAACCTCCACCAACGCCCTACTCCTCCCCTCATCCACAACCGCATCCAACGACCCCAACACATGCAACACAGGTGTCTTCACACCCCCCTCATAAAACCCGCTATACCTCGGCCCCGGCGCCCGAAACCCACTATAACACACCGCAAACTTCAACTCCCCTTGCCCAACACTCCTCACACACTCCCACCAAGCACTCGGGACCTCAAACCCCTTAACATTCTCCCCATTCTCCTCAAACACACTCCCCTCCGTCGCAAACCTACTCATCACCTCCTCCCTCCCGGGCTCCAACAACGCCGCCACAATCGCCGCCATCGCCGCCCCCTGCGAGAACCCCACTACACCATCAAACGGCCCCTCCGTCTTGATCACATTCGCGATCGTCTCTAGACCCAAGTGCAGGTCCGTGTAGAGAGGTGGGTTCGCGGTCGAGGAGCGTCGGAACCACCCGTAGGCTTCGGTGGGAGTGTCATCGCTGGTGGTAGAGCCACCTTGTGTGGTGGAGGGCTCGTAGCCCGGGATGTCGGAGGGGAGGAGGTGGATGGGACCCGTTGGGTAGGTCGTTGTGATTGTGTAGCCGGTTGTGGGGAGGAGCGTCTTGGTGAGGTGTTTTATCACGGCGCGGGATTTGGCGTGGAAGAGGGGGCCGGATTGTGTGTAGCCGTGCAGGCAGAGGAGTTTGAGGGGGGGCATCTTTGGTTCTTTCTTTCTCCGTTTGGGATTTTGTTTGTTTGAGGGGGTTGTGGGGGGGAAAGGTGAGGGTGGTATTGTGGTTTTTAAAAGGGACTGGTTGAGTGTATGAGGAAGATGTCGGGGAGAGAAAAAGTACTAGTGGGAGGAGGATGTGAGGAGATAAGATAAGCCCGGGTGGATGGTGGTAAGTTGGTTGGGGTATCCTCAGTTCTACGATATGGGGGCGGGCTTTGATTTTCCGGGTATGTAATCAGGAATTGAAAGGAAATGTTCTAATGTGTCGAGGTGATCACTTGGTCGTTGGGGCGTATCTCTACAATCCAGTTGGTGGCACTCATATACATACAGGTAAAGAGGGTTGGTCTAGATGCAAGGGCACTCGGTGACCCCAGCTTCGACATTGCGGAGATGCGGGCCAGATCTACACATTTCGAGGGGCTACTTCTCTACTACTACAGGCTAATGACCATACTGACCAATATATAACATACGATTGCTACCGCACGAGGGGTATCACAACTCTACAGTGCCGGCACTGTCCTCTCAGACCTAGTAACCAGACTCCTGCAGCCAGTCACGCCGCTCCGCAACAATACCGGAGCCGCCATCATTCATCTTCTCCACGATGGAGATCTGTTTTTTCCCTCCTTTCACAATATCCGAATTCCTGCGGCAACCGGCAGAAGCTTATGTGCAGACGTGACTGGTGGCGTTGTATGATGTTTCCCCATATCGTGCCCCTGTTCGAGGTACATCCGTCGTAGGTACAAGGAACATAAGTTTGTCGAAAACGATAATCATCACGCGAAAATCAAGAGGAAAGATAAAAGGCAAGAGTAGTTTTTGGTAGTATGGACCGATCATGTGCCAGATATCCGGAACTCCCCTGCGCAGAGATGTAGGAAGATAAAAAAAAAAAAAGTAGTAAAACGCTTTTTTTGAAGAGGTGTATCAAAAACGAGGTTCTGTGCCTGGTCAAAAATTTTTTTCATTTCCCTTGTCTGTGTGGTTCCGCAGGGCTTTCTCGCAAGGGGCGAGGATTCCATCTTCTATCTGAATCTGTTTCCTCAGAAAAACGAGATATATTAATCCATCATCATTGAAGAACGCCACATTGCTTTCATCATCGCTCCGGCACGGTTGCGTCGAGACGTTTACTTGCGGCGGAAAGAGCAGCCCTCAGTGAGACGGGCCTTACCACCGGTGGGCTGGCAGAGGACGGTCGAGCAACCAGCGCAGACGACGACGGTCTGGGCGTGGGAGAAGACGGTGGTGATGGTGAAGCAGCCGGGGCACTTGACGTCCATGAAGAAGGAACGGGGAGCAGGCACAAGGGTCTGTTTGTCGAAGGAGTAACCGATATCAGCCAACCCATTCCATCCATCCCTTATCGATGACTGTTTTTTCCCGATATGGAATTGTTCATACCTTGAGCTTGTGCTTGCGGGCCTCAGCCTGAGGCGCGGGGTTGAGGAGGTCGACCGCGAGAACCTATTCCGAAGGAATATCCGTCAGTTCAACATTCTTTCTTTCCTTTCGATAAAAATTTCGAGATGCCTGCGGCGACGGGATGGTGGCGACGACGGGGTGCACAGATGGCTAGCGGCGATGGCCATTTCTATGCAAGCATGCAGGGAGATATGTTGGGCAGGTTGTGGGATGGCATCGTAGGGGTAGAACGTACCATCTTGACGAGACAAAAAGTCGATCAGCGAAGGGAGTTGAATGAAGCGCTGATGGAGATGGCCTGCTTGAGGGTGAAAGCGAAAAGGTGGTCTCGTGGAGATGGCGAGCGCTGAAGGGAATTCTCGACGGCGTCACCCACGGCGGCCCGTTTGGGGGCGCATAGGGTTGCAGCCCTCTCGCTAATACTGCCCGAACAAGCACTTTTGCCACCGCCCGGCGGTGGCCCCTGTGGCTGATGCCGTCTCCACCAATCACGGGCCGCTTATATCAGCCGCCAGATGCTGCTAGATGCTCCAAGGTCCTTCGATGGAGCTCCCTTTCTTACTTTGTACTACTATCTATTTACCTGTTACTCGGACGGGCAGAGAGATTACGGTGGTTGACGCATTGTCGCCACTCGGCAACTGCTGATCTCATACAAATACATTTCTATCGCTAATCCAATACGCTGCTTAGATACGGCCATGACATACGTTTCCCGTCCGGTGACATGTGCCTGCCATTCAGACACCGGACGACTTGCGACTCGGTTCCAATGCTCCTGATAGCGCAAGGCCAGGATGCACGAACGGCTGCGCCGTCCAATTAATCTACCGTCTACCGTCTTATGCGATTCGACGTTCTCCACATGGACTCCATTCTTTCGTACCCTCACCGCCATCATTCGCATCCTCATTAGTTCGACTTCTTCGCCTCTCCATTGGCGGTCACCACTTCCACGTGAGGGTGCTTGATCGTCAAGCACCAAATGTCAATATAGTCGCATATCGTCGTGATGATGTCGTGCTGTTTGCAATTAGCGTCTCGCCCTCGAATGGTCATGCATGACACCTACCACGAAGCTGCCGTAAACGCCGATCGACAGACCCAGGCACACCCAGACGAAAGCAATCTGCCTCACTCCGTCACCCAGAAGACTCGGCCAGTACCCAAAGACCGCACCAGCGCTGTCGAGCACTGCCAAAGCAAGAGGGATCAGGAGCATGTTGAAGTAAGGGAAGCTGGCCTTGACCAGGTGCGCGCAGATCATCTTGCCCACGGCGTACGCATTGATCATGCCGACGTACAGGCAGAACGGGACCATGTAGTTCTCCAGGATGGTGGGTTGCAGGTAAAGATAAGCCGGCACAAGAGTCCACACCGCGACCAGGGGGAGTAGGCCATACAGGGGCTTGATCGGGTCCTGACCACGCTCGCGGCGCACCTGCATGACATGCACGATGCTAGAGGCGGTGGCGAAGAACAGGAGGACTCCGCCGTAGACGAGATACCACTGCGTAAAGGCCATGTCGTAGATGTGCTCTGGGATGAAGGCCAAGTTGGGAACCCCAACGGTCTCCAGCATGGAGCGATGCCAGAAGCTGCCACCGCCCATGTAGGCCGTGAAGCCAAACACAACGCAGAGAGTGAGGACACCCTCGACGGGGCCCGAGATGATTCCCAGAGTCAACACCTGGGTGTAGTATTCATCCCAGGTCTGGACATAGAAGGTCATAGTCGCTGCATCTTATCAGCATCGCCCGGTACTCATAGACTTGCCCACCACCTACATCCGAATAGGGTCAACACAGTTGCCCAAGATTGGCCGAGGTTCATGGCCGCCGCGAAGATCAAAACTCCCAAGGCCGTGTTGCATGCATCGACACCTGCAGGCGAAGCTTAATTCCCGGTCCATCATTTAAAAATGGTCAGGCCGACCCATTAACTTACTGTGATCAAACAGCTCACCCAGAGGACCGCTTTGCTTGGTTCTCCGCCTGCAAGATCAGATTTAGCATCCAGTCTACCAGCGGACAAGATAATCACATCAAGAATGGGGCGCAAGGGGCAGTTCGTACGCTTGGATGCCGTCTACGCCGTCAAACGTCTGGTAAAGGAACAACCCGATGGCGCAACTGGCATAGACCCAGGGCGGGCAGTCCTGGTCTAGGGTCGGGTTGTACCAGAGAATGGTGATGAAGTTGACTACCACAAAGAAGAACCCAGTCAGGGTAATCTACCAGTCCTCAGTTATTGGTCTTTGTCGCAGCAGGGCCAGTCCAGGGCTAAGATGACTTACGGCATTAGGACTAAGACCGGGGAGGGAAAAAGGCTGTTAGCCAGACGAGAATAAAACAAAACTAGAGGACGAAACAAGCCAGTATCGTCACTTACGCCATGCTCATAGGGAAGAAGTTGATCACGAAGTTATTATAGAACGGCTTGAGGACAAAGCGGCTAACAAGCGAAAGATCGACTCCTGCATAACGGTATTCCCGCAGCTTGGGTAGTTGATGCTGGCGAATGTACACCATGTTGCCTGTTGGTCAGAAGGACCTGAGCTACAGCGAGCAATAGGGCCTGTAAATCTAGATGGTCAAGATGCTCGGAAGTATATGGTCTCTTGAGTCTTTGACGCGATGAAAGTCAAACCGGGAAGCGGGCTGCAGTTGACGCCAGAATTGCAGATGCCGCGCGGTAAAGAAGGAAACAAGGGCCGGAGAAGGCGAACCAGGGCCAGGGGAGCGGAGAAAGGGTTGGTGAAAGATTAAAGATGAAGTTTATAAAAGGACACGGTCGAAGTAGAAGTGTAGAAGTAGAAGAAGAAAAAGAAAAGAGGAAGAAGAAGATAAAGTAGCGCGAGTGGGGAGAATAAAAAGAAAAAGCGACGCGGCGAGGAAGAAAGAAGTGGGTGCAGCTTGTTGATGCTGGCCTTGAATTTTCTAGTAACTTTTTTTTCTGCCGGCGGAAAAGTCAAGGCAAAGACGGGAGGGCGGACGCGGGGAGCCAAAAAGGCCAGTGAGGAAGCCGTATCGAGGCGGTCCCTCGTCTCTTCAACAGCCAAGAACTTTCAACGACTTTAGTCGCTGCGAAGAATCCCACCGCACAGCATCGAAGGACCAGGTGGATTCCCGCGGAATACCCACGTGCCGTGCTGCTTTTCATTTGCTGGTTTACCTCGGACGGAGGAGACAAGACCGCACCCACGTCTCCTCATTTCCAACAACCAGTCCTGCTACGGAAGCCCGTCTGTGATCGTCGTGGGACAGGTGGGGGGCGCCAGCACACCAGCAACCAGTCTGCTGAGTCGCGCGAGGCCCGAGGCAGCTGCCCATGACGGAAATGAATTTAGTCGTCGACAAAGCGGAGTCGCGCAGGATACGCTAGAACAGTCAAGCGGGGCCATGGATCAACTTTGTTTACAGCAGCTGGTCGTCTACTTTGTAGATACGTAGTCTGGAGATAGACAGGAGACGGGGATAACAGATACAACAAGACGTCAGTTTGAACATAGGTATGCTAATGCTAAATACGATACACAAAGGGCACCAAGGCCGGCTCGTGAGAGGAACAATGAGCAGCGTGCCGAGTGTGTACACTACCCCAGACGGCTCGAGGGCCTCATGATTCGGCATTCGCTGCAACAGTAGACAGGGCTGAGTCGCTCCATCCTTGATTGGTCTCCTGTTTATACCCCATACCTCCTATTCCCTCTCTGCTCATGGCGCTCGGACCGTTGAGGAACACAAGTCATCGGGCTTGGCTCCGTATGCCTGGGTCCTGGAAAACTCACCCCGTGATCAAGACCATGTGATGATCGTCGAGCTGAACCGGCTTAGCCAACAGGACTCCAGGGCATGGGAATCAGGATCCGACTCTGCATGGTCTGGATAAGTGGCACCGTCTTGTGGACGGTTTCCCCCCAGCCTTCGATACCCCAGGACTGCTCACGGCGGACTTTGCGCTCTTCGAGGTTCGCGAACTGCCAGAGATGGTGCACAGTGTTCAGGTCCCCTATTTGAACAAACCATGCCCCAACACCCTCCATCACCTCCCGGCGGGCCTTGAGGCCACGACGCCAGTGTGTTTCCCACTCCAGAAGATTTCCGGGATGAAGAGTGTACGATCGGAGCTCAAAGAGGCCGCCCAGGCGCCGTGGAGGCGTCGTGGGCCAGAAAGAGAATTCCTGCATCAGCGACGTCTTCTTGCTCTTGATCAAGCCCTTCAACTGCCGGTCAAATTCGGGGAATTCGGGGTGACAGGAGATGTTGTGGAGGGAAGCATGGTAACCTTCATATCGCTGATATTCCCAGATGTGAACTGCAAGAGCCGTTAGCATCCATAGTAACAGAGGCATTCTCAGCGCAACTGGAAAGGCTGGAAGGGCGCGTCAAGTCAAGTACCAAAGGTGTCATTATCTCCAACCTGCGTGCGCCAGCTACCAACCAGATTCACCCGGTTTTCAGGATCGGCAGCCATGCGAGGGTACCACTGGCCGACGAGGTTCACATAGTCGTCAACTTTATCGGGCTTCACGTCGTGAAAGACGATGGAATGTACGTATTTTCCACGGGCGAGAACCTGCGAGAATGACCGTTCGATATCTTTGTCCAGCTGCTGGCCTTCCTTCGTTCCGTAGATGAGCGACGACAGGGGGCCGCGCTTCGGAGACTGACTGGCTTCCTGCAGCTGCTCGTCTCCTATAATACGGTGGGTAGAAAGTGAGCCCAAAGCCTTATTATCAAGAACTTCAGCGGCATCAAAAACGGGATGTTTGTTACTGCTCGCATTGCTCTCACCTGGAGCAGTGGGAGCGGTAGCGTACTCACGAAGGCGGTCACGGGATGCAGGGGATGGGGCAGAGGTAGAACCAGAAGCATCGACAGACTGACTCTCTTGCTGTTCTCTCTTCTTGCGGGCAACCTCTAGGTTCTCGCGAAACTCCTTCTGACGTGCGTTGAACTCAGCAGCCGAGTCGGGGGTGATGTCACGGATAGAGGGGGCGCGGGAGGCAGTGGCAGTGGAACTGAAGGGGCGAACCAGCGAAGACGCCGGCCGCAACAAGCGTGGGGCGAGCATGATTCCGTAGGAAGCTGATAGCTATACAGAAACGGATGCTGAAGCAAGGGATACAGTGGGGAGATTCTTCACAAAATAGAGGCAGGACAGAGTAGTCGGGCAAGGAACGAGGGGGACAGGTAAAATGAAGGATGGATGGACGTGTGTCGGGTTGACAGCAAATACAAAAGAGGAGCCCAACGACAGCGATTAGACTGCGAAAGGCGACACAAGAGAAGAGGGGGTTTTACCGACAGGAGAGGGGAAGTAGAAGAGTAGATGTAGAAAGAGTAACTGAGACAGCAGGTAAGGGCAGGGATGGGAGAGGTAGGTAGACACGCGATGCGTTACAACGACCTGACCGACGGCTGAAGGGAAGGCGCACTGCAGCAGGAGTCCACGGAACCAGTCAGGTCGCAAGCTTTAGAGTCCAGGATCAGCAAAGAGGAAGATCGAATTGTCGGGCGGAGGAGTAATAATCCCCAATGACGGTTGTCGGTTATAAGCCACGGGTATGTAGGTTATTAGGTGACAATCGAATAGGGCCAATGGAGGGAGAGTGTGGAGAGTGAATGGAGAGGGAAGAGGAGAGGAAAAGAGAGAGAGAGGAGGGAAAGGAAGGTAGTTGAGTGGTTAAGGTACTTCCGGACGGCACAAGTGAGAAACTGGGGAAAAAGGCGTCACTTGCTCATTAAACTGGAAAAGTGCGGGGAAACAAGCCTGTGAAGAGACAAGACCTGTCTTGTCTGTTCTGCTAAATAACGTAACTGGGCTGTGCTTTCTTTCTCGTTCTCGGCTACTGCCAATGTAACTTGAGCTGGGGCCTGCCTTATATAAGGGCTGATCACCAATCCCAGCCCTAGTGTACTAATCCCATTGTGCTGATACAGCTCTTGTTTTCTTCTGCGGATGATGTGTAGTCCCCGAGAATAGACATTCCTCATGATTTGTCCATTCCATTTGTCTAGGCCGATCTTCGTTGCCTGGCCCTGCATCTCCGAGACCATGACGAAAGCGGTCTTGCTTCCTTTCCTCCGCGTTCACGGCTACGGGCATGATAACGGGAAATGAGGTTATCTTCATCAAGATCTTCAACCCGATTGGTAACGGCTCATCAATTGCCTCTAACTCACCGGGGTTTTCGGTAAGTGAAGAGCTGATGATACCGGCAGCATCCATCACCGCCTCAAGCGTAGCTCCCAGCACCGATGACGTCGTGACCGGAGCTGTCTCTTATATAATCAGAAGCGAGCCGCGCAGTGATCCGGGCCCGTATGGCTAGTACTAAACGAGACTAGTCCGGTAGACCCAATGCGGTAGCTCATCTGGTTGCCGGTCACACCCCTCCAGCTGAGCTGGCCCGCCACTGCCACTGCCACTCACTGTGTACTGTCGCACCTGAGAGCTCGTTGACTCGACAGAGTCTAAGCGTACTTGCTACATTTGACATCCAGCACCTCTTAACCTACCTAGGCTCTGAAAATATTTTCTCCGTGTCCTACACTATGGCGGATTCTATGAACCCTCCCCTCTCGTACGAGGCCTCAGCCACAACTACTCATCCGCATGTCGGGACTACCCTCCCAACGGAAGTGATTTCATGTCTGAAGAATTCTCGATTCGTGAGTACTGCAATTTCTATACCTTTATACCGTCATTGTGATCGGAAGCTGATATTGTACACTGCCAGCTTCACCTTGCAACATGTGATGGCTTGACCCCGCACATCTCGCTCATGTCCTACACCTACCTCCCCTCGACTCCCTATGACCCGTATCCGACAATTATCATGACTACCAACCCTTCCTCTCGCAAAACCAACCATCTGCTCACCAACCCTCGCGTGTCCCTTCTGGTCCATGACTGGGTTTCGCACCGTCCGCCTACCCGGGCTCCCAACCCCGATGGTCGCGAAGGGTCTCCCCCGCCTGCAGCCACACGGTCCTCTTTGGCGAGCCTGTTGTTGAACCTGAACACAAGCGCCCTTTCCAGTATCTCCACAACTATCGCTGGTACCGCGCGCTTCTTGGAACCTGGCTCTGAAGAGGAGGCATGGTGCAAGAAGCAGCATCTGGAGAACAACACCTTCGAGGAAGAGCTGGGCACTTTCGGACAACAGTTGCAGCAGCAACCCGGTCAAAGACGGCCCAGTATCTCAATTGACAGCGATGTCCGCGTCGTGACTGTTCAGGTGCGCGAGGGCCGCATTGCAGACTGGAAGGGTGGCGTGAGGGATTGGCAGTTGGTAGCGGAGGGTGAGGGCACGCAGGGAACGATGGTCAATGGCGTTGCGCCCGAGTAATGCGTTTTGAAATCTATACTATTTTGTATATCAAATTTTATGAGTGAAAGAACGAACCTGGGAAATTGCAAGCAAGCAAGCAGATATGCGAGTGTTGCAGACTGCCTAGGTCCAGTCAGTCATCGGAAGGTTTCGGCGCACGCGGTTCCTGAAGATCTCTGCAGACATGATCTCGCAGTCATGCTCCTGGACCAATATGGAAGTACCCACTGCAGTATATAGAAATCTTGAATGCTACCAGCAAACTCAATCTCAAATTAAGCACCGGATGTGGGAAAGAAAGCACGAAATCGAGATCGGAATTGCGTTCCTCATCACATGACACTACAATCCGGGGGAGTGACGTCCAATCTTATCAAACCGCAAGCTCAATAAATTACACACCAACTACTACCTATTTACCAACTTCGCCCAATTCCACAACCCATACCCTCTCTAATCTCTTCATCTCAAAATACAATGCAAACACACCACTGATCCTAACCACCCACCAATCCCAATCCCACCTCCACCACCCAAAAAGAAACCACCAGAACCAAAAATGCGCCTCGCCCACCTCCACCTCCCCAACATAACCCCCTTCAGCCGAGTCGCCAACATCCAACAAACACTGACAAGCCGACTCCTCTCACACAAAAAGCACCTCACGCCGAACCCCCCGGATCCAACCATAATAACCTTCAGCCCGAATCCCGTATACACGACCGGCCGGCGCGACCTCCCTCCCTCCAACACCCTCAACAATGCCAATGCCAACACACTGTCCCTCCCACCCAGTCTCGAACCAATCCGCCAGATCCTAACCTCCCCGCAACCCAACACCGCTTATGACCCTACCTCCCGGGTAGCGGAATACCACCCCACCCTGCGCGGCGGACAAACGACCTACCACGGCCCCGGCCAGTTGGTCGCATACACGATTCTCGATCTACGACGGCTGGGACTCACGCCGCGGTGTCATATACGGTTGTTGGAGAATAGTGTGATTGATGTGTTGAGGGAGTATGGGGTGAGGGGGATGGTTACGGAGGATCCGGGGGTTTGGGTGCATGGGCGGAAACAACATGGAGGGTCTGAGGGGGGGAAAGGTGAACTGCCGAAGAAGATTACGGCGGTGGGGGTGCATCTTAGGAGACATATTAGTAGTTATGGGATTGGGTTGAATGTGACGGAGGAGCCGATGTGGTGGTTTCGGCAGATTGTGGCGTGTGGGTTGGAGGGGAGGGAGACGACGAGTTTGCAGGGGCTTGGGGGGGAGGGGATTACGGTTGAGGAGGTGGCTGGGAGGTTTGTGGGGAAGTTTGTTGGGAGGGTGAATGGGGATTTTGCTTGTGGGGAGGGGGCGACGGGGGAGGGGATTGAGGAGGTGTATAGGGTGAGTGAGGAGGATTTGTTGAGGGAGGGAACGGAGTGAGTGTGGTTATGGACTTTGCATGCTGGCGGGGGAGGGTACGGTTGAGAAGGAGGTGGAAGGAGGTTATTGAGTACGCGAGATACGGCGTGTTCGTTATCAATGGTACATTTGCATAGTCTATACCAATCGTCGATACGGAGATCGGCCAGAGCGAACGATGGAATATAGATAAGCAGCCATGGGTATGTCCCGACTGGCGCGCTTTTCTGGAAGGTATCCCCAGAGCAAATATTAGGTATACAGGATTACAACAAGGGGTCCAACAAGTATATATAGAGAAGAGAACAGAGCAAGGCATGACAGGCTGAAAACGCCCAGGAAATGATAGCTCGATGCCAGTGATGGGAAAACCAGGGCATTCCCCCGGTTGGAACGGCCACAGCAAATGATCCAGCTTAATGGCTGAAGAGCAAGCAGGTAGAAGGGTATAAGAACAGAGCAATGCAATAGTCGACAAGTCATGAAGGATGGCCCAGCGGCATGTCTAGAGAATGACACACCGTTCGCCGGATCCGTTAGAGCCCTGAGTTCTGACTTCCAGGGCGACCTTTGCAGCTTCGTAGAATGTTTCCATGATACCACGATTTTGCACGGCGGAGCACTCTGTCAAGAAGTCAGGAACCATCACGCGAACGACATCACGGGGTGGGAATCGCCCTTACCCAGGTATTTCACTGCACCAATTTCCTTGGCTTTTGCCAGTCCTTCTTCGTAGGTGATCGCGTTCGGGTTGTCGTTGAGGAACTCATCCTTTCTCAGATCACACTTGAGGGCAGTAAGCACCAATTTGACGCCGGCGCAGTTCTCCGAGATCTCTTCAATCCATTTGCTCGCCACGTTCTCGAACGAATCGCGACTGTCAACCTAGTAGGAGTCAACCTCTTATCCATTCCTCGAGGAGCGGGAATCCTCACGCTGAAACAAAGCATAATCACGTGTGTGTCCTCGTATGATAGCGCGCGCAGTCGGTCAAATTCTTCCTGGCCGGCCGTATCCCATAGCGACAATTCCATGTGTACATTGTCCACGAAGATATCTTAGAATAATGTGAGCATGCGAGCCCGGTTTATGTAGGGAGGAGGAAGTACCATGCACGTAGTTTTCTGGAAAGCACAACGGTCAGTAAGATGATCATCATAAGCCAAGAAAGAACATGCGCACCGAATACAGTAGGCTCACTATGTAAATGGAAAAGATTAATATCGCAACAGGAAATCAGCGTTTAGAAAGGTCATCCTCACTAGACCGTAGGAAAGTATCTACCAGAAAGTTAGCGGTCTCGACCACAAAAAAGAAATACAAGGGGTGCCCACCCTCTGGTGAAGACATTCAAAGCGGAGGTCTTGCCGCAAGCGCCGTCCCCTCTTATCTGAAATCAGCAATCTGCCCATCAAATGTAACTGCCAAGGCTTGGTGAAACTGACAATAGCACCATCTTACGTCGAACGACCTTTTGGCGACCACAGAGACTCATTGTAACGGTAGTTGGGAGTGGTGGTTGTGTCGAGATGCGCGGAAAGAAGGGTCCAAGTAGATAAGGGAGGGAAGGGGCTAGATGGGGAGGGGATCAACCGAAGAGCAGAATGGCGAACAGAATGAGGGGATAGTGAAGAGGAATAAAGTGTGCGGAGTAAGGGCTAATAGGTACGAATAGCGTTTCACGAGGCACTGATCTGGCTAGAAGAAAAAAAAGTGGTTGCGAACACGAAGATAAGTCGTGGGCCGCTGTGCAGCGAGGCCGGTCGATGTCATCGGCTCCGTCCTGCAACGGGCGATCCGCAAATGAGAGACGATCGTCATCTGCCAAGTGCCTGAGCCGCTCTGGAAGTCGGGAAGCGCTGAGTTCGCTTCGCCACGCCTCGCAAAAATTCACCCGCAAAGATGGCTAGTTCTGACGGTGGGTAGAGGGTGCCCTCCACAGTAAAGTGGCAGTGTCTGTTGAAACCATGGAGGGTGTTGCTTATACTAGCCAACTCAGTAGTAGTATGAGTGAGCGTACTCTTCCTGCCTAAGGCGGTGCGATTAGTTGTAGATGTCGGGTTCAATTTAGCACGCAGATTCAGGCTGTGACAGGCGCCAATCGCTCAGATTGACTTTATATTTAGAATCATTGCATGCAGGTCTAGCTTGAATCGGTCTGACTAAATGTGTCAGAGTCCATTTTTCTGTCACTGAGCCACTAATAGGCAGTAATATTAGTTAGAATAGTCTGGGTGATCTTGTCATTGAACGTGAATTGAACTTATATATAGTACAGTAAGCATAGTACTACCAGTAAGCCCGCTGTTTGACGGCAATCCTTCATGCGGAGTCTGAGCCATTGGACTGTTCAGTGTAAGATAACTCAAATAGATGCCTAGGCCATATGTATCAGCCATCAATCACCAACAGGCAATTCCCGGGAGTTAACAAGCCTCAAGTCCAGTGTAGGTTGTTGCTATAGTAGAATAGAATGCAGTCTCGGTCGGGCCCGGCGAGGAAGCTACAAAGGCGGGGAACCTCGAACTTGGCCCCAGGCTCCGATAGGCGCGGAAGCTCTCCATTCCTCACTCACCTTCATCTCTTTCCATCTCTTATCTCCATCGGTCTTCTAGCACGCAGTCGATCCTCTTTTGCCTCTCAGTTTTTAATTCTTTTAGATACCCCCAAACGCAGCGAGGTTTAAACCGTTCATAATGTCTGACGATGATGATTTCATGCAAGATTCGGGTGACGAGGAGTAAGCCTATGTTGTCCCTTCAGCCCGCCGATGGCCGCGGCCGCTAACCAGCTGGACTGTCGCAGTTACGACTTCGAGTATGAGGATGCAGACGATGATGAATCGGGAGACGTCGGTATCGAGAACAAATACTATAATGCCAAACAGATGAAGATAGACAACCCGGAGGAGGCCATCGATGAATTTCTGGGTGTTCCGGATCTAGAACAAGACAAGGGCGACTGGTAAGAGGCCGTGTTCGTCAGTGATGGTTCAGGCAAGGTGCTGACGGTAGTCCAGGGGGTTCAAAGGACTGAAGCAGGCTATCAAGTTGGAATTCAAACTTGGGAGATATAGCGATGTAAGGCGTCACTGCGCTCTTGGCTCACGATGATAAGATACTGATTCTCCAGGCCGTTGAACACTACAGAGAGCTCCTCACTTACGTCAAGTCGGCCGTCACTCGTAATTACTCCGAAAAGTCCATCAACAACATGCTAGATTATATCGAGAAGGGATCGGACGATGACACAGCTTACCAGTGCATGGAGGAATTCTATTCTCTGACTTTGCGCTCATTTCAAAATACCAACAACGAGCGACTATGGTTGAAGACAAACATCAAGTTGGCGCGTCTTTGGCTGGAACGGAAAGAGTACGGTCAGCTAAGCAAGAAGGTGCGGGAGCTGCACCGGGCATGCCAGCGGGAAGATGGCACCGACGATCCCAGCAAAGGAACATATCTCCTCGAACTATACGCCCTAGAGATACAGATGTATGCCGAGACGAAGAACAACAAGCGACTAAAAGCGCTCTACCAGCGTGCCCTTCGAGTCCGGTCGGCGGTGCCGCACCCCAAGATCATGGGTATCATCCGAGAATGCGGAGGAAAGATGCACATGAGTGAGGAGAATTGGGAGGAAGCGCAGAGCGACTTCTTCGAGTCATTCCGAAACTACGATGAGGCGGGATCAATACAGCGAATCCAGGTGCTCAAGTATCTCGTGTTGACCACGATGCTGATGAAATCGGATATCAACCCATTTTATTCCCAAGAGACCAAGCCGTACAAGAACGACCCCCGCATATCCGCTATGACCGATCTAGTCGATGCATTCCAACGCGACGACATCCACGCATACGAAGCTGTCCTTAGCAAAAACCCGGACGTCCTGGCCGATCCCTTCATCGCCGAGAATATCGACGAGGTCAGCCGAAACATGCGGACGAAGGCTGTTCTCAAATTGATCGCACCGTACACACGATTTACCCTCAAGTTCATCTCGAAGCACATCCGGGTCTCGGTACCCGAGGTACAAGACATCCTGAGCTTCCTGATCCTGGACAAGAAGCTCAATGCCAAGATCGACCAGGAAAACGGGATAGTGGAGGTTGAAAGCGCTAGCGACGTGGACCGGCTGCGGGCACTCCAGGAGTGGAACGCATCATTGCGGTCTCTCTGGCAAGCGACGTTGAACGACGGGGATGGATTCAGGGAAGATCCCGCACAGCTGCACGGTATGAGAGGAGGAGGGCCCATGTTCCAACCCGGGTTTGGAGATGAACCGCCTGCAGGATTACGCGCTGGTGGTCGCCGACTGCGGGGTGGACACCGAGGCAGAGGCGGCGGCGGAGGGTCTGGAACGAAGCTGGGCCTGGGAGGCGTCTAGGGAGGGCAATGCATTGTCCCATCCATTCATCCAACTAAACCATTTCTGCGTCATAGCCCATACACTTTAGAGAAACACACACACAGGGTTACGAAGTAAGGATAAGGAATGAAATCATGACACAACATCGCTCCATCAATCAATTAATCATCACACCCCACAGACCAAACCAAAACAATGATATCATAGAACTACCAATGCGCACGGCATCTAGATAGCCCATCCGTAAGCCACCAAGACACTAAAATCACCAAAAGGGCCGGGTAAACTACAGCAAGTAAGTAGGAGTCAAAGCCCCTAAGCCACACAATTCCCTTCTCGTTCCCCAGGCACATCCACAATAGTAAGAGGTACTTTTGTCAATCACACTCTCTGACACTCACACACAGACTCACACAAACTCACACAGACTGATACACAGATAATGTTCTAATCCATGCTTGCTATTCCCAGCTGATGTCAGTTCAAGTAAAGTAAGTAACACCCGGGGGAAAAAAAAACCAGATCACACACACAGACATTAAGTGATACCACATCCACATCCTAGACAATAATAAATCAAGTTAAAACCCCTGTTATCCCGAGGCCGCCACAACCCACCCACCCCCTCCTGAATTGGTTGTCGTGACAGGTCATGTTCAGGTTCAGGTTCATATATCCCGGTTCGGGTTTTGGTTGGTTTCTTTGCAACCATGTGGGATGGAAAGTACCCTACTGTTATAGTTAGGGATTAGTTAGATAGCTATTGGGCAGGGTATCGGGCTGAGTAACTTACTCACTTACTTGCTTACTTGCTGGCTGTCGATGAGTCTAGAACTATCTACTGATTCTACTACCTATTCTAAGGTACGTAGTAGTATACTTTGTATCCTGTCAATCCACTATGTACTTGATTTGTACCTCTAACGCACGACAGAGAAGGGTCCTATTTGTCCGGGGAATGGTTGACTGCATCATACGCATCATATGTATGTACCTACTTATTACTTATGTAGTAGTATCTATTGTATGCATGTTTGACGCCTCTGAATGGAAAGTACTGTACAGGGACTTGATACGTATGGGGGTGAGGCGAGGCGAGGCGTTCTGGGAGTATCCTGGTATTGGGGTAGACTAGACTAGACACTTACTTAGTTGATTGATTGATTGATTGATTGTCTAAACTTTATTTTGGGACTTATTTTGGGTTGTTATGCTGGGGAATGTGCATGGGTGGTGTGGTGGTTTGTTTGCTGATAAGTGCTGGGGTGCACTTTTGTATGTGTGTATGTATGTGTTGAGATGGGATGATTTGTATGTATGTATGTATGTATGTTGTGGAAGGAAGGAAGAAAGGTAGTGGATGGATTGGTTGGGATTACAATGAGGAGAGAGAGAGAGGGAGAGAGAGAGGCTTGGGGGTACACAGATGTGCGACGTGCTTGGTTTAGTTTGTAGATGTGTGGATGGTTTGACATGGACAAAAGAAAGAGGAAAAAAAAGGTCATTGTTGATTCTAGACAGTGATTATCGGGTGCTTACAGATGGCAGGAAGGACACTAAAGCAGAAGCACAGATAGAATTGCGTAGGCGTTATGCCCTAAGCTGATGTGTAAGTAGGTAGGCAGTAGGCATGGTGACAGCTGCAAGCAAAGTACATGTGTGGAAAGTTACTATGTATGCACTGCATGGAGCAGACAAAAAGCAATCAACTACTCAACTACCCACCTACCTACCAGGCTATACTCTCCATCGTGCAGCTGACAGGCAGTCAAGGGAAGTTGGCAATCTGCAAGCCCCAACTGTATGTACCCTGTTGAGTAGGTAGGAAGAGAGGTACTTTTGAACATTGAACATCCTTCGGGGCGCAAATGTTGGGTACTCGAAAGTATTAGGTACCTAAGAGATGCAGCAGAAAGTGAGGCAGAGGTAGGTACCTAACTCAAGGTGAAACTGGGGAGTGAGAGGGGGGGGGGGGGGGGTAAAGGGTATAGGTACCCAATCGAGATCTCTCGGGGTAAATACGGAGTACTACTTACACAACACAGCATAGGATTGTCATCCAGGTAGAAAAGATACTTACTTAGTATCTTGTAGGTACAGTGGAAGTGCGTGATGAACCAGGGTCTAGATTGGAGTATGCGGGATTAAAAAGTGGGAACAATAGGGTCTAAGAACTTGATTGTTGAAGTTGCACAAGGGGAAACTGGAGCTTTCTTTTTCTTGTTTACTTATCGATCGGGACGGAAGGGGATGGGGATTGGCGCGGGGAGAGGATTGAATGCCGATCAGGACGGTAGTTGGCTAGTAACTACTGTAGTAACTAGTAAGTAGCTGTCGTAGTACGTAGTTGGGTCGGTGTGTGAGATGGTGAGTTGTGGACGTGTCTAAGTTGTCATGGTCGGCTGTGTGT